GCCCTAGCCTCAGACCCCAGCCTTAGCACCGTCCTCCTCCTCTGTCCTGGGGTCTGGCATCAGGGGCTTGGAATCCACCTAGCCAGCCACATGGAACCAAGTCCTGAGCCTCCCAAGTTTGGTGAGCAGACAGGCTATTGGGAGAAGTCTGAAGGGAACGTGGGTAGGATGTCATCCTCAGAGTGGGTCATGGGGTCTCTTGGGCTGGGAATAGAGAACCGTGGTGTGAAACAGAATGTGCAGCCCCTCATGCCCCCATTTCTCCTGGTCTCTTCCCCAGGAAACAATGAAGGGAGACAGCAGACATCTGAATGAGGAAGAGGGAGCCAGTGGGTGTGAGGACTCTGTCATCGTCAACGGGAACTGCAGTGACCAGTCCTCAGACACTAAGGATGCCCCCTCACCCCCCGTCTTGGAGGCGATCTGCACAGAGGCAGTCAGCACACCAGAGAGCCGAGGTGGGTGTCAAAGCTCCGACACAGCAGCTTCATGACTGGCCTCAGTGGAGACAGCTCATTGCTCCTCTTCTGGTGATATGGGCTTCATAATGATCAGGAGATGCTGCCCACTTGCCTCTTGCTCGTAGAAGTTCACAGGCTCCCTGAAAAGTCCTTCCCCACTGGTTTGGAGCCCTATAGTGCCACTGAAATCTACAGTGTCCATTAGGACTTGCTGAAATGGATCAAAGTGGCCTGTTTTCCTGTTCAACCCAAGAGCTACTTGGCCACGTGGGAACATTTGAAATGTAGCCAGTGTCAACCAGTTTCATGGAATGGGCTGTGAAGGGATGGGCTAACGTGTGAAGAGGAAGGCATAAACCAGGCCGTGTGTGTGTGTGTGTGTGTGTGTGTGTGTGTGTGTGTGTGTGTGTGTGTGTGTGTGTGTCCCTTTGCCTTGTCTCTTCATGGAGATGATGAGGGACACTGGCTTCCTAAAATGACTGGTTTAGAGTTGGCCCAGACAGACTGAGGATGCATTTTAGCAAGAACACTCTCCAGGTTGGTGACCACTGTCCTACTTTGCAAATATGGATTCCTGACTTTTCCTCGCAGGCCGCAGATCAAGCTCACGGCTGTCAAAGAGGGAGGTCTCCAGCCTGCTGTCTTACACTCAGGTACCGTCTCTTCTCTTCTCTTCACGTGGTTTGTGTCTTTCTTTTAGTTTTGATTGCATGAGAAACAAGACAAATAATTCTTTATTACACAGGAAAGTCTTCTATTCAAACCTTCTGTGTGTTTGAAATTATGTCTGTCATCAGTGTACTAACAGATCAAAACTCACTCGTTTCTGGAATGGGCTCATCTTGGCCATAGTGTGTTATGGTTTGTTTGAGACAGTGTGTGGATGGCCTGGATGTCACTGTAAGCCAGGATGTCCCATGTCTTCTCACATGTGCTGTGAATAAGTTGAGGATGCCAGGCCGGCAGCATTCTGCATTTCCATAACTTGGCTGGTGGCCTGGGATTCAACCCAATTTGAATTTGTGAACATATGATTAGCAGGTGTGGAATTTCACTGAAGAAAAACCAGGTGATTGTAGGATGTATTTTGGGGACTCCTAGGGTAATGTCAATTGAATGATGCTTCTGTATCATTGATTCCCTTAGTTCATCCTTTTTTCTTACCCCAGGACTCAGCAGGAGATGGAGATGGTGAGGCAGAGGATGGGGACGGCTCTGACATTGTAATGCCAAAGCTCACGCGTGAGACCAAGGAGCCCAGGTCACCCTCTGAAAGTCCAGCGGTAAGTCCCACCTGCTGAGCCCAGGCACCTGCCACCCTTCCTGGGCCTGTATAGAAAATAAGGATTAGGCAGTTATTTAATCAGAAAAAATTTTGGACACATTTTGTGTGGTGGATGTATATAGGTCAATGGACAACTTATGAGAGAGTAGGTTATCACCTTCCAGCATGTAGATTACAGGGACCAAATTCAAGGGTTGGCAGGCTTCGGCAAGTCTCCTAACCCACTGAGCTCCTTGGTTAAGTTTGATATCCCTTAGCCACAACAGGATAATTCAGATCATAAGTTAAACCTCAAGGTAAACATGACATTTGATGAGAGTGAAGAGCAGATGAGCCATGGCCGTTTGACACACCGAACACGGCACCGAGAGCTTATTGAACAAAACCACTTAGTTTTTGGTTATCATCAACATTTTCTGATTACGATTCCTTTAGGAGGCCTTCACAATCATTGCTTTTCCTGCTAAAACTCCAGGGGACTGAATTAATGTCACCAGTGCAACAACAAGGCTGTATTTTCACCCTCACTATGTGATCAGGTTTAAGTGCAGATCCCTGCTGATGCCAGGGAATGAGCTGTAGCCTGGGTGTGTGGAGCTCCTGTAACACTGGGAGCTGGAGGCAGGATCAGTCTTACAGGATATGGTTGACTGTAATCATAGTTCTCTGAGCTACCTCTCGTGAGTGATGCATTGCAGGCATGCACCATCACACCTGGTTATGTGTGGGCTGCGGCTTAAACCCAGAGCTTATATGAAATTAGCATTCTATCAGTTTAGCTATATTCACAACTCTCAGATGATTTCGACTTGGGAAAACATCTGCTAACCTCAGTCATTGCTGGTATTTTATTTATTCAACATGCCATTTCTTTCCTGTGAGAGATAACACATTCATTTGTGACGACCGTGAATGGATATGTAGTTTTCTGGGTGGATGACTGAGTTGCCTGTTGCTTATGTGAGTCATTTTCTCCCATTACTGTATGCCCTGGCTCAAGAAAACATTGAATGGGTGAGTTCTAATCCACCCTTGACCAGAGAGGAATGATATGCTATCTCAAACAAAACAAACATATGTCAGTCAGAACAAAAAACAAAGAGTTATTGAAATGGAAAGTCACAGCGGGTCAGTTCAGCGCATGGCAGCTACTGTAATAATATCACCTTCTATGAATTGGTACTCTCCTCATTTTACACATAGGAGAAGATTCCAGTTACTTCACTTTTTTTTTTTTGACTGAATTTGGGTCTCAGGCTTTCCTGCCTCAGTCTCTTTGATGCTGGGCTTACAGGCAGGCTGTGCCACATGTGACTAACTGTTGTCGATTTTGAATAAGTGGCGGCAACAGGCAACTTCACACCATTCTGAGAAAGCTGAGCTTTTCTGAACTGCCCCATCCAGGGCTTTCCTAAATAAGCCAGTATTTAGGCTTGAGCTTTTTGGAATAACGCTCGACTTAAGGTGGGTTATGACCCATTTGGGGACTGAACAACCCTTTCACAGGGCTCGTATATCAGATATCCTGCATGTCAGATATTTAGGTTACAATTTATAAATGTTTTTGTGATTGGGGATCACTAGAGCATGAGAAACAGTATTAAAGGGTCACAGTATTAGGAAGGTTGAGAAGCACTGGTTTAAGGCAAACAATTGCTTCATCACTATTTGCTGCTGCCAGTCTGGGTAGTCAAATCTGTGTTGTGACATGGGACAGTGTGATTGTCTCCTTCAAAGATATCCTTGTTAAAGGGATCCCTGAGTTTATATCCAGTTGTCTTCTTCACTTCAGCAGGTCAGCCTGAGGCTTCCTTAGGGCCCAGTCCCTTTGGGAGCCCTTATTGGACCCCCTGCATCCAGTCACCTACGGCCCAGTGTTTATCCTTTCTTACTTTCAGGTGCGAACCCGAAATAGCAACAGTACCTCCAGCCTGGAGAGGCAAAGAGCCTCCCCTAGAATCACCCGAGGCCGCCAGGGCCGCCACCATGTGCAGGAGTACCCCGTGGAGTTCCCAGCTACCAGGGTTGGTCCTGTCTCTGATTGCAAGATCTGCCTGTTCACTTGCTTGCACAGAACTGCCTGTTGTGTATATATAACACAACTCTGCTTTCTTCACCTGCACCTGCCTTCCAGGGTCTGGCTTCTTAACTTTCTTCTCTGACTCATCGTACTTGGAACCACTTCGAGGAGGCAGGAGTTCCCAATTGCTTAGGTCTCTGGCCCCCCTTGGAGCTGAGCTGAAAGCCACTGGTGTCTACTCTGCATGTTTCTTGTGTCTTTTCCTGCTGTCTTGAGGCAACCCCCAGCAGGTCCAGAACATTCTACTGCTGTTTCCAGATGTACAGGAGCCAGTTCCCCAGAGACCCCGCCCTCTCTGAGCTCAGCTTCAGAGCCTCTGGTCGTAACCTGTCAATGCACTCACACTGTTTATTCTGTCTTCTCTCTGCCTTGGGGTCCAATGACTGCCAGTTCCTGTCCCTGTAACCCTGTCTTCTGGGGTGCTGGTTTGTTTTCTCCTTGTTGATTCTCTGGGAACTTGTTGGGGGATACTGTTTGTGTACCCCTTCTGCTTTGCTTCACTGGGTCTCTGTCTTGTCCTTCCGTCCATAGTCTCGGAGACGCCGAGCATCGTCTTCAGCAAGCACACCATGGCCATCCCCTGCCAGCCCGTACCCCAGCATTGACCTCATAGAAGAAGTGACACCTCAGAGCAGCAGCACCCCATCGATTGACCTGAGCCGGGACAGCCCGCAGGAGAGCATGGATGCTACACAGCTGGATGCAGATAGCAAAGACGGAGACAGCACGGAGTATCAGGTACCACTGAGGAGGGGTTTGGGCCCAGGTTTGCACAACATGCAAAGTGTGGGGAAAGAGAACTGCAAAAATTATTGAGTGACCAAATGACGCCCGCCCCCCCCCCCCATTTTTAAGACCAGGTTTCTCTGTATAACAGCCCTGGCTGTCCTGGAACTCACTTTTTAGACCAGGATGGCCTTGAACTCACAGA